TCCCCCTCCGGGGGAAACTCCTTAAGTTCCGGCGGCCCCTGTTTTTTGGCCAAAAGCCGGGCGGGGGGGGGGGGGGGGGGCGTGTTATTTTGGGTGGTCTTGTTTTGGAGGGTCGGCGTTCGATCCACGGGGGTCTCATGAGTCACACGCGAAACAAGGTATGTGTTGTTGAAGTGGAGGAGGTCATTTCTGCCTTGTGTGGTCGGGTGGGCGCCAATCAGACGACGGCAAAAATACGGAACATACGTCTCTTGTACAACCTATCACCACGCGAATCAAAAACGAATGCTTCGAACACGAAGGTTGCAAAAAAAAAAAAGAGGACAACCGCCATCATCGCGTATGAGAGTCAACACGCCCTGGTGAACGGAACTCGGAGAGACACACACTCTGGAGGCATTGCAAAAAAAAGAAGAAACGTCTCGAGGGCGCGGCGACTATTGCAAGAGGAAATCAAAAAAGGCATCGTTCAACGGTGCTCTCCACGCTGCTGCATCACATCAGGTCACATCGCACCTGGTCGATGTTGCGGTCATTCACGAGACGGATGATGGTCTCGAGCTTCTCCATCTTCACGTAGATAGGGTCGTTGTACTTGCAGAAGAACACCTTTTATCCCGGAGGCGACGGTTTTTGATGTTGTCCGGAGACAGGACAACGCCAACGACAAGGACACAACAGTAATCACCGTGGCAGCAGCAGTAGCAGCAGCAAAGACAAAGACAAAGACAAAGACAAAGACAAAGACAAAGACAAAGACAAACCAAAAGAGAGACGACGATGGTTAGTGTACGGGTGGTAAAGGCAAACAACAGCGACAGCAAACAAGAAATACAGCTGTCCACATCGAAACAATCCAAGCGTTAAGAAAAAATCAACAAAAAAAATGTGACAGGGGGAGGGGATAGACCCCCCCTCCTTCTTTCATCCCCCCCGTCCGTCTCGATCAGCCCTGCTCCCATGCCCCCTCTTACCCCCACCCCCCCTGTCACCCAACGACCGATTGGCCATCGGTGATCGGTCCTGTGGAAGCAATGCCCCGTCCTGTCGAGGACGCGTGGTCAATGGTCTTTGTAACCGCTGAGGCATAGAAAATAGATAGTGCACCCCCCCCACTACCACTACCACCACCACCACCACCACCACCACCACCACCACCACCACCACCACCACCAACCCTCTCCAGCCCCGATGCGCACAAACCTTTATCTCGGACTCGAGGATGCCGGGCCGCTTTTGTACGATAAGGTTAATGTTGCGGAGGGCCACGTACTGCGTCTCGGGCTCCGAGTTGAGCAGCGTTACGAGAGGCGGCGCCAGCTTGCGGCTGAACGACCGGCTCGTGTCGACGCTGGTGACGCTATCCAAGTACGTCAGTACAACCTGAAGTGAGGCGGGACAAGTTTGTATGGAGGGGAGCGCTATCGTCAAGGTGTGCCGAGCGCGAAAGGGCGGCGAAACAAGCGATGATACAAGGATCCGGATAAGCGCGAGGAAGAGGGCGGAGCAGCAGCAGCAGCAGCAGCAGCCGAGAGGGGGAAGGGATGAGAGCAAGGGGAGCACGCAGACAAAACAATACGCAGAGAGTACAAGTGCGACGGGGAGGAAGACCGAAACTGGGGGGGGGGGGAAGTAGCGCAGCCGCTAAGTTACTGCCGGGAAGGGGAAACCAAACGCACCCACACGTGCACTGCCACAAGCCGACCCGTAGTACCCGGCAAGCAAGCGCACATGTCGCAAACGAAACAAAAGGGAGGACACATCGACTGACCAACACCAACAACAACAACAACAACCACAAACACGCGCACACGTGTTTCGCGTCTGTACAACCAAACCGCGGGGGCAAGGGGGGAAGGCTACGCACACGAACGAGACAGGAGAAACAAAAAAAAGATGCAGGGCGCACCGGCAGCACGGGCACAACCCTCTTCTACTACCACCATCGATGAGCACACGTCCAACGCCAACCAAGAAATTCGACCAATACATTTCACGCCCCGACCCATAACCAATAATACTCTGCAAAAAAATAAACGTGCCTTAACGGCCGACATGACCACAGCCGAGTTCGCGTGCTGCAGGCGCGGCGTGACCCTCTCGATGATGCCCTCCGCCTCCCGCCCGTCCGCGGGTGTGTACTTCGCCAGGGAGTCCAAGATGAACACCTGGCAGACACAAGACGAAACCACATCCGTCCCATTCGCCACCCAGCGGGACGGCGGCGGAAGTGCCAGGGCGGGCAAGAATCAACCAACAACAACGCCACGTGTGAGACTCTCTCCAAGAGACAGAATGAGGCCCGTGGTGGTGAAAGGGGTGGTAGAGAGGAAAGGGAGGACAGCGGCAACAACAATGCCATTCTGTTTGCACATATAGGCAAGTATACCACTGCAGTAGTCGGGCTTGCATCCGATCGGTCCGTACCACCGCGCCAATGACAACATCCGGAGTCTATCCGGCGGCAAGTGCAGTGCAAGCTTCGCCGATGACAAGCCCGAGGAAAGGGGACTCGAGCGCAATCATGACGGGCTTGAACCCTGAGGGTTCAGAGACAAAAAACAACGGCCCAAGGAAAAGGCGTGAAGAATCTAGCTCGATGGCTCGGCCCTTCCTCGCGCCGGCCCATACACCAACCGCCCCCCCGCGAAATCAACATGCCATCCCAGGCTACCGTTCGTGGTCGTGTGCCTTGTCACGCTGGGGTACACTACTTTGTCGTGCAGTCATGCAAGAACATGGCTGGGGTCCTTGTGGTCTTTTCGTTCTCTGAATGTACTTGTTCGCCAGCCGAGAAGCCGCCGCTTTTTCACCTGGCCCCACTCCGTGCATTCGTTGAGCGCAGCCAAGAGCTTCTGCAGCACCGAAGTGTCGATCTCCATCACGTCTCGCCCCGACGTGTCCCCGATCTCCGACAGAGCTGCCACCGCGTTGGCCACCACCTTCTCCGACCCACCAGCAATAGAACAAGACAGGCGAACGGGTCGGGGGGGGTCGGGGGGGCACATGAATAGCAGGGAGTGGTGAGGACAGCGACAGACAGAGAGACAGACATACAGGCAGAGAGGCAGACCAGACAAGATACAGGGATATGTGACTGACGAAGCGACCACACAACGAAACAAACGATGACAACATCGGTGTCCACGCCATCCGCGAAGGGGTGATACCACGCCGCCAATTGACATTGCACCCGATAGACACAAAACCGCACCCAGAATACACATTGGACAACTTGCATCTGATACCCTACAGTATGTCTCCGAACACCTTACAAGAAGAAAAAAAATTGCCCCGGGCGAACCCGCTCACCGTCGGGTTGGGGTCACAGATGAGATCCCTCAGGATCTGCAGGAAACCCTGGTCCTCCACCAGGTCGGCGTTGATGTCGTACAGCTTCGCCACGCACACCGCGGCCGTCTTACGCACGTAGGGGTCCTGCAGACAACAGCAGCAGCAGCAGCAGCAGCAGCAGCAGCAGCAGCAGCAGCAGCAGCAAGAAAGACGGGCAACGAAACGGCAGAGAGCAACGTAAAAACAGGTCCGTCCACACGAAACAAAAACATCCAATCACTGCTGTAGAACACATCGTGTTCCGAGCAAGCGCCCCGCGGGAGGTCGTTGTCAGGAACACGGGATCCGGCGATGAGATTGTCGAGGCAAGTAGTGACGGGTTACGGAGGAAGGGACAGAAGGGACAAAAAATATGGGACAGTGGAGGAGAAGAACACCCGGCCTGCTACATCTGCCCTGCCGTGTGCTTGCTCATTGGAGGTCAAGAGAACGCCCGAGCTGCCACTGCAGTTGCTACAGCCCGTTCACGTGAGCCCCGTAGATGCCCCCCCCCCGGTCTCTCCGTACCTACGCCTCTTCCTCCTCGACCACCGCGCTACTGTAAGCGCAACGCGTCGGCTTGACAGGGCCTTCGGGGTACGGCACAAGCGAGAGGCGAGAGCGACCCCTGAACACTAACCAGCAAGCCGCCCAGCGTACCCTCGTCCCTTCCCTCCCATCTCAGAGCCCTGACGACATACGTGGTAATGCTCGCACCGGGGGGCCGCCCCCCAAGCCACAGACAATGGGAGAAATCCTCTCTTGTGTTGTACATCAGACCAAGAAGCGTATGCCTACACCTATCGACACGGAATGGCGCTACGAAATCGACGACGAGTTCTTCGCTTTTCTATCTAGTCCCAGCCCGCCGCCGGGCGAGAAGAAAGAAAGGAAAGGAGGAAAGAAAGAAAGACAGAAAGAAAGAAGAACGACACAACTAAAAAGGACAGGAAACAATAAATAAATAAATAAATAATCAAAACAAAGATAGAATAACGAAAAATCATACAGTAGCAAAAAAAAAAAAACTCACGTCGTCTCGCAGAGCTTTCCTCAGGGGCTCGCACAGGTACTCTGTGATCTTCTCCACCCGGATGCAGCCCATGGTCCGCACGGCCAGGGCGCGGATGAGGGGGTTCGGGTCGTTGGCGTCCTTGACGAACGTGTTCACCGCCAAGAGCGTTAGCTCCGGCTGCGTCTTGGCGTAGTTGATCAGGTACAGGTACACCAGCTTCTTCAGCTCGATGTTTTCTGGTTTAGGGGTGTGTTGCCGACAGATATCACATCGGGTTTCACGAACGTTGTTTATTCGGGTTAGCTTTGTGGAGGGCGGGGGGGGCATGGCTTGATCGGCAGCCAAGCCTATACATCGCTGGTAAGGGCTTTGAACGCCAGTTTCTCGCGCTCAGTATATTCCCTGGGCGTGTTCCGACCATTCTGGGGATGGTTCTTGTGGCGAGCGGCAAGATGTACAGAAATAAAGGTATGAACGTCTACCGGTCTACGAAACAAAAGGCTTCACCCCGACGCTAATGTTCTCAATTTGGTACAGCAACCACTCCCAGTTCCACGCCATTGCCGACCCCGAACCCACAGCAGCGGTCTTAGACCCCTTCACAGCTTTTCTGCCCCGTCCTGGGCAGATACCGATTCGGCGTTGAGCGGTGTTTCGGAAATTCCGCCACCACTACGTGTTCTGCTGTTTGTTCCTCCTCTCACCGGTCTGGATGCAGTTAATGACGTCCGTGAAGAGCATCGCCACGTCCTTGCCAACGGTCATGTTGGCAATCACCTATGTGTTTAGTAGGAGCGGAACCATGTAGAGGGAAACATCCACGGTGATGAAGCGGGAATCGATGACAGCGAGCAAACACAATACCTGGTACAAAGTTTCCATGCTTAGCGTCTGCATTAAAACCATGAACACACACGACAACAGCGGAAGTCAAAGGTGGGGCCACGCGAAGCCCTCCATCAACATCGACAACGGTAACGAATCCGATCAACAGATGCAAGTGCTAGAGAGTTCCACCCCCTACAGCATTGACGTTCTCTCAATCCCTATGGGACGTAAGCGCCGCTGAGCCCTAGAGCTCCAACTTGCGAGAGCAATTATGCCTCCCTCTTTTTATCTTCATGCCAAACACGCCCCACCTTCTTGACAGCATCCTTCTTCTTGTCGCGGTTGGGGGAGTTGAGCTCCTGACGGAGTTCGTGCGTCTCGCCTGGCTCACCAAATCGTTTTTTAGGGGTGTCGTGGAACAGCATAGCACGGAACGCGGACATTTGCCACAAAGTCAGCAATTTGAACACAACAGCATTGTTGGCTGCACCGAACCGGAGCCGACAAATTTTTCGGTTTGGACCTAGGCGACGAGCTCGGCCCCAAGGAGTAGGTTTGCTGTCGAAGGGTGTGGGCTAGGGCTCTACGGGCTTGCGTGGGAAGGTTACGGGCTTGCGTGGGAAGGTTCTTGCTTCTATTGCCAGCATGCCCATGTGCCAACGAGGAGGATACTCAAGCAAGTTTAAGCTTGCGTTTCGCCCCCACCGCCATCCTACAAAGAGTGCACGGAGCAACTCTGCTGTCGGACACGAACAGGGAGTGGATAATCCAGGCCTCAGGCGTGCACAGCCATGCACCGTATGTGCATTTGGCCTCGCTTGTGCTTGGGACAGGAGACGGGTGAGTTACGTAGTTGACGCACACCGACAGCTGCATCACAAAGACACCCCGTTATCACGACGAGATGTTGGTGTCGGTACCACACAACACTGGGTGCAAATCCACAACTGAAAGGAACGGTGCTTTAAACATGCGAGAGCGACCAAGCTCACCGGCATTCACTCCTACTGCACTGCTCTGGTACTCGAGATGTCTACCAAAAGTAGGTGCTGCTTGTTGTTGTAGGTCTGCGGTATCAGCTTCAAACGGGGGGGTGTCGTATAACAAGCAAGTCGGGAAGAATTAGCACCCCCGGAGAGCTGCAAGGCCCCACGCAAGACCGTCAACCCGATGCCACTGCTCCTCTGCAGTTCCCGTTTGGCGTGCAAGATGTTGCCCTTTCGCTCGCCACGGTACATACGTCGTGGAACACAGCAGTGCACAACACCCAAGGGACAGTAAGAACTCCCCGCTCTGTGCTCGGAACAAACGACGGTCCGGTGCAGCAGCAGTGGGGGCCAACCGACACAGTATGCAACTAGCTCTTCTTCTATCCAAGAACGACAACTACAGCAAAGTTATACCCATCCTCTAAAGGAAGCTGCTACCTTTCTTGGTGGTCGTGAAGAAGCGGGAGTCGCTCCCGCCCGGTGCCCTTACAGCTCTGCCCGCCATGGTGTGTGCTGCTCAGTTCCAGAGTCGATTCCTCTCTCCTTTTCTTTCCGCGGGTGCAATCCTTCGGCGATGCAACCAAGCCCAGCCTCACTGCCCACTGAAATTTGCACACAATCGACTCCTGACGTCCTACAGCGTACGAAGTCGGGTGGCACAGCAGTACCCGTCTCTCTGTTGTGCGGGAAAGGCCGTGCCGCACGGAGCGACAGGCACGACGGGGGGGGGTACGCGAGAATATTGAGGGTTCCTACTACTTTTTCTCGCTGCGGAGCCCCTTGAAAATCTGATAATGGTTTCCTGTTTGGCTATTTGGATCCCTCCTTTTCGCCTTGCTGAGATTGCTCTTTCCATTCCTCACTCTGCGATCTCTGTGCAATCAAGGCGCCATGCAATCAAGGCGCCATGGCTTTACAAAGTCGTAGCGTAGCCTTCCAATTTTTCGTCGCTCCCTTTTCTTTTTCCCTCTCGCCCCCTTCGACAGCACCTACAAACTTCGTACGATAATTGACAGCGTAGCCAACCGCATTCATGGCTACGCTGTCAATTTCGCTTTTCGCTCTTGTTTTGTTGCATGCATGTAGGCATATAACAGCATGCCAGAGTAGTTCCTCGCGATGTAGATTCGGCGCGTTTCACTCCACCGTTCATGACACACAGGTGGTAGACTTGCTGCGGCGTAAACGTTCTCGGCCACCCTGAAACGGTTTGCCATTTTTTCCGCACAAAATGCAACATGTCACATGATGAAACGGAGCTCTGTTTTTCTGATGCGACAACTTCGTGGAACGAAACACTCGACCACAGCTGCATTTGCCTCGACCGTTCCAGCATTGGGGCAAAATCGGCTCGTTGCTGTGTCCAATGCCCGAACATACCACCTAGGGAGCTGAACCTAATTTTTTTGTGGGCTGCGGTTGCTCGTGAAGCGCATAGGCGAGGTTCATGTCTCTTGAATTATCTCTCTATTTTCTCTCTCCAGGTTCTAAGGCCATAATCTCTTTTACCTTCGCCACTTTCCTGCGCACCTGCAATATTACTTCTCCAGCAAAAGCGCCACAAACGTATGGGCGTCATTCTCTGGGAAGCGGCGTCGAATGACACCAAAACAACTTGTCGCCTGCACAAGCACACCAAACTGCATCAGGGGAGCAAAGTCTCTTCCGCACTATCTAAGCGGCATCACGAGCATCAACAACAAATCCGCCCCACTCACCCTCCCCCTCTGGCACCCAAAAGTCGCCCATTGCCTACTAGCCACCCGCCCAAACACGCCCCCTGTTCCTATCCCACCGTGCTGTCGTTGGCACCACACCCGCTGTTTGCCATGACCTCAAGGAATCAACAGCTTCGTGTCTCGGGGAACACGCTCGTACTAGGCATGGTTTTCACATGTTCTAGGTCAGCCGCGTTTTCTTCTCCATCTCTCTCTCTACCCCTCCCCCGTCTCTCCACGCCCCTGTCTCTCTACTCACTCCTCCGCCAACAGCGCCTTGTCCGCGTCCT